CAATGCATGTATGCGACACATTGAGCTTCTCTGCAATATCTCGTGTTGTGCTGTGACGATTTGAATCGATAATGGCCTTGATATGGGTTTCATCCACTTCGACTGGGCGGCCAGATCGTTGTGAATTTTTCAGTGAAAAATCACCGGAACGAAATCTTTTAAACCAATTTCGACACTGCCTTTCTTTTAAGGCTTCATCTCCATATACGGCACATAACTTCTTTTGTGCTTGCGATGCGTTCTTGCCTTTTCGGAAGTAATACAATAAAATGTGTCGGAAGTGCACGTCCTGTGCTTTCATTTTTAAATTGGGATAAAAACAAAACTAAAGAACTAAACAAAAAAAATTTTTACTAATTAACCTAGAAGCCCATACAGTAAGAAAAAAATATAGGTTAGGTGCTCTGGCCACGTTAACAAAACAAAAGAAAGTATACAGTGAATCCGTCAACAAAAACGGCAATGACTTGGTTGCCAACCCAATAGTTTGAAGTCAGAAGTCAACTGTCTGTTAATGGACTTTTTTGCCTTATGAGTATATGCTACCCAGGGTGCATCACGTGGAGATAAGTCTATCGCGCATCCCAGGGAGGCTGATTAATAATAATTCGTGAAATCAGACATTTGAAACATCGGCCTAGTTATCTCGCTTGACCTCGTTTCAAAAATCAAATGAATCAAGACGCGGCTTTGTTTTTTGACTCTCTGAGGTGCATCCTCTTTTCGAGCATTTTTAATCTGTTTTAACTTCATATCCTTTACTAAACTAGAAAAAAATTGAAAATTTTGAAAGCCTGGATTACACCATTATAGGGCATCAGAGTGTATGGCATTTTGGAGGGGAATAATAAATCATGCATGTTGTAGTTGTTTAAGCAGGATCAATTGAACAAAAATGAGGTTCCTATATGACCAAAAGTCGAGTGAATTATGACTGTCAAATCCGTCAATTTTCTTTCCTTTAATTTAGCCCCTTCTGCTCATTATTTATTTGAATTAATCTCCGGTTTCCTCGAATAATTTTCTTGTTTTTATTGCATTCGGTCGTAAGTACTAGTAATACACGGCTGCTGGCTTATTGGTTCATAGGCCATTCAAAATAACAGTTGAGGGTTCACCAAATTAACGATGAAGTAATTGTTTTTCGCACATTTGAATTTGGAAACTTTTCATTCGAAACTTTAAGTAAAACATTTTTGGCCAGCATTTTCATTAAACCGTAAAGTTCATCTTGTAGTTTAACTAATAGCCTTTATGAATTCTTGTGGAGATTGGGGAATAAGGGTATTTATTTAAACATTTTTTCTAAATCTATCAAAAAATATGATGTTATTGAATGAACTATGTATCATAAACTATTTTGAATGTAACCTACATTAACAAATCATTATGTGATAAAATTTGATTTTTAATGGGTTAGAGTTAGTGACGGGATGTTTGGAGCTAGTGTTACCTTTGAAGTGAAGTATTTATCTACTTTTATATAATTTCTTGTTTTTTTAATTATTATTTTACATCGAATTGGTTGACCTTTAAAAGTAATTTTGAAAGTTTACCTGAATTAACTCCACCTGTCGAAATCCAACCCGAAATAATCGGCTATCGTAGAGATATCCTCCCCAAACGTCTCTGAGTTGAACCATCAAAGAGTAGACTTTGGGACCACTGTGTACCCCAATGGGCCACCAAGGAATCACGGATGAGTTTCCATTAAGTGGCAATTCCATCCAAACGTCTGTACTATTTCTTTCATTACGGATACATCGCTTTTCAAAATTTTTCATTAGTCCACCTCCTAATTTGACGCTGACACAGACCTTCGAATTCGGCTTCCCTCCAATAATCTCCACAGATACTGCCGCTCTCCATGTGGTTCCTTCCAAAGTTGGGAAAAACTGAACTCCATCTCCTAACCAGACTACATTAAATCGAAGTGATGGCGTTTTCCAAAAGCCCTGAATTGGAAAAGCTGGTCCCCAATCCCATCCAAAGGAGGCCTGAGTCGTTCTTACAGCGTTAATAAAACATTCTCCATTGAAAACGCTCGGCCAACATCTAGGTGGTGGGGGATTTGGAGCTAACTTCTGATAAGCTGATCTGGCCATTATAGGAGTTGAATTAAACTTTAACTGAAGGAAGTTCCAACCATGACGAGTATAAGGCGAGATAGGTACAGAGTACCGGATAAAACTACTATCTGTGCAAATAAGCAAGCGATAATTTAGATAAACACAACAATAGGAATCTATTTGATCAAGTTCAAGAAAAATGGTTTTAAGGATATCTTTATAACCAAGATGGATATAGTGAGAATAAGTCCAATTTCCATAACTGAGTGGACGGAGTTCAATGTCACCATAACCAGTTAAAGGATTTGGGATGAATCCTCTGGTCTGTAGAACCGAATAAATATCCGTCCCAAAAATGGAATCGAGGTTGAAACTGATGTCTACTTTACCGTCACTAAGACCCCATTTCCCGATAAGAGGAATGGTATATCCAAGGCAGAACTTTTTCAAGATTAAAAGATTGCAAATCACTGTCAACGTATGCGAAAGTTGCATTTTGAAAATGACCTTCAGGTGAATCAAAGCTGTATATGATGTAACGTAAACACAAGATGTCTGGCCAAGATCATTCATTGGTCGTCATACTTACCGATGCACCGCCATTGTTCTCTTATTTAAATTAAATTCCTAATGAGTGCGACTACCTCTCCCCCCCCCCCCACCTCCCCGTTTTTTAAATAAAACGAGAGAGCAACTGAACGCATCAATTGGGTAATTTTGGAAAGTGGACTGAACTCTCACTGATAGTTAACTTAATCCAAGTTCAATCAATATTCTTGCAGCAGCATAAAGAAGATTTAAAAGACCGTTAATTTCGACCAAAGAAATTGTCGTCAACTGATTTATCTCAATCAGAGTTCAACTACACACTGTTGGTCCAAACCGAGACGACTCAGATTGTTTTTTTTCCCTTGGTGTACTTGGGAGGAAACGGCTATGCGTAAATACTCATGGAAGCACACGGATTTGGAACATATGACGATGATATTCGACCTTGATCGGGTTTTTAAATAGGTAGGGTAGCAGCTTATCTGATTTTCAACTAACTCTTCCGGGGCTCAGTCACTGATACCGGAAAATGAGGAAAAGGTAATTTGGAGCAAAAATTTTGATAGCTTGCGAGCGCGTTGAGACAAGGGGGCTTTCAACACGAATATTTGATATGAGTATCATCAGTAAGTTTTCCTCGAGTCTGTAGCAAAACTAATGGTGTAAGTAAATGTTCCATTTTTCCACATCACTTAACAATTACTTACTCCAAATTCAAGTAACTTTCTCCCATATTAGATTCACGGGTAAATTAATTTATTTGTACAATTAAACGTCAGACTGTAACACCTCAATGTAACTCGATCTATTTAGATTAGAAACTATGTCTACTTAAATAGATTCAATAGCAAAGACAAATAAGATAGGGAGCGAAACATGCGATGAAAATACGTCTATTATGAGGTCTTTTTGGACATCATTTTGTACGGAAAGGCCGAATAGAAAACAACGGCAATAACCACACAAGTTGTCCCAAATAAGAAGGTCCATGAAAGTCGGGCATGGAAAAACAACACGGATATGATGCAGGTGATAATTATTGAAGCTGAACAAGCGAACCCCTAAAAAGGAAGGTGAACAATGTTAAAAGGCGCATTGAAATTTCAATTAGGAGCATTCATAATTTGTTGGACCACAATAAACAAACCAAATGCATTCAAAAAAGTAATTTAAAAAAATTTCTTCATTTTGTTGAAATACCTTCAAGATATTGTCCGCATATTTGACGACTAGAGCAACGATGATACCACCAACGGATTGCAATCCAATAGTTGTCCAAACGAGCCAATCAAACCCATAGAAAAATCCTTTTTCCGCGACTTTCTCCCTTTCGCCGAACACTTGTCCTGTTATAGCAATGGCAATCGAAGCCATAGAAAGCTCGAAATTTCTAGCCCATAGCGATTTGGGAGAATTTTTGAGGATCTAGTGGAAATAAGTACATCAATAAAGGTTTGGATTACTTTTTCAAAATAAACTGCAGAGAATCCGGAAAGTAAAGAGGCAAAAATTACGGCCGCAAGACCAATTATACTTGGAGGACTATTTGAGTTAAAATTGGATGAATTTCCGGATTGTTCTTGCACCTGAACTGCAGCAACTCCAATAAACAACACAATCTGGGAGACCCACTGAACAATAGATAATTTTCGATTCAAAAATAGCACTGAAAATATTGTTGTTGTGAAAAGTTTTAGTTGATATGTGACCTGGAAACACAAAGTAGAGGGGTGAATAATTCTGACAAACCTGAAAGATTGCTGCGTCTAGGTGGCTAAGTGCGAAGAGTAAGATACTGTTCTGTATGACATAAATAAAAGCAGGAATGCAGGTCCGAAAGAAATCAACGGGATCATCATGAATACTAGATAATGTCTGCTTTAGACGCTTCTCTTGTATAAGCATAAAAGATGATATCAAAAATTTTACAATCTCGCTCAATATTACGACAGAAGAGGCAAAATATTTGAGACGATATTCGGCACGAGAAAAACGCATTGCGAGTGTATGAAATACATTTTGAAAAGATAATATTACGAGATATGTAACTCTCTGTAATTTTAATCCTAGCATTTTTCACAGGTAAAGAGTAGTTAATCAGTAATGAGACCTTGAACGTACCCAAAACTATTAAAGTGGAAGAGTGACCTAGAGAGGGGATATTAATATATAAAATAGCTTCAAAGAGTAACATATTTTAGATTTTATTATTCGTATTTAAACCTAAGATTCAATTTCTGACGTTATAAATTTTACTCTTTACATTGTTTATAGAATGATATGATAAATAATAATTCGTGTTCTCTAAGTTTTTAAGTCAATAACTAATTGACTCTAGTATTTAAATATGGCAAAAATACTGGCTTTTCTTTTATGGGCTCACATCTTATAGAATGTTCCCTATAGATGTGCTCTTCATATATATCCATTTAAATTAGAAATCCTTATTCGTAAGACCCCGTTTCATTGAGGAGTAAATAATAATTGACAGTTAACATCATAATATATACCTGCCTTAATTCGACGTTTGATAAATCTCTTTAGCAACTGACGCTCAAGAAACCGAAAGACTGCCAGTCCTAGATACCATTCAATTTTAGAGTAACATCAAATGAGCTTGACCTAAGCCATATTAAATTACAAGTGTCAACAAAAGCCGTATACGATAACCGTTTTGCTTAAGACAGATAAAATTAATATAAATTGCCCTAATTCCCATAATCCACAGTTGGATAAACTATATAGTGCTCCAGTTCCATTCACTATGAAGTGACATAAATAACATATCATTGAAATTAAAACATAACGTGAGAAACTGAAGAGGTATTTTACACAGTAGGTTTTTAAATTGATAATTATTGATAGAAAATCATCCGACTCACATGGCGATTAGTGATAAGTGAAGATAAATTTGATGGAATATTTCCATATTCAAGACGCATGAGGAATGGATAGCAAATAAATCGATTAATATTATTTCTTTCACAACTGGTTAAATATGTTGTTTTTTTACAATACTATTCGATGTGAATTACGCCTTTAGTATTCAAAATGTTGCAGAGAGTAAAGGTGAAAAAATTATATTAGAGGTAAATTTTGAAAATGTTTGTGGGATTATCTTGATACCGATATGTGTGATTGATTTCTCCGAATATCACCTTGCTATAGGAACAGAGATAGGATGTCAAAAAAATCTTTGAAAGTTTGTCAAACTATTTTGCTTTAAATTAGAACGTCCCCGTCTTTTGATAAGATTTATATCATTTAATATTAATATTAACTTCCTCGTGTACTGCAATCATTTTAACCTATTTAAAATTTTGAAATATTTACGTTATTTATAATATTTCCGACGTATTAACATTTTTATTAAAGGTTTCTTTACTTGGTTATAATTTGCTGATAAACGCTCGCTTTTCCGAATATCGTTTGCTGTTAGTGCGCGCTAAAATGGCAGCAAAGGAAGATCTACTGTACAAAATTTGGCTATCTGAACAAATTGAGCGTTTTGAGGGTAATTTAATGTTTTTGTTATTTTCTGCAGATATGGTGAGTTATTTAGAAGCATTTTTAAGTAAGGGAGGCAAATTACCGCCAGGACAACGCCACCAGCTCTCCGGTGCATTTTGCAAACTCGCCGCCCCAAAACGTTTCGCATTGGAAAAAATTAATCTAGCATTAAATGCAACGAGTGAAGATAATCAATCTGAATATACGAGTTTATTACATTATAAGAAAGTTCTTGAAGATGAAATTCGCCAAATTTCAAATCGATGCATAAAGTTAATAGATGACTGCATGAAAGATGATGACGAAGCAGAACTGAAAGCTTTGTATCACTGCGTGTAGGTTGAAGTTGGATTTTTACTCTTTTTATCTTTAGAAAGGCTGATAGCTTTAGATATCTTTGTGAGTGTGAAACTGGTGATAATATAGGTGACATTGTGAAAAGTGCCCTTGAAGAGTATAAAACGGCTTCTAGAATAGCAATTGGGAATTTAAATCCTACTAATGCAATTAGATTAGGAATCGCCATTAATTTGTGCATTTTCTATCTGTATGTTGCCAATAATGCCAAAGATGCCTATGGAATTGCTCACTCAGCTCTTAGGGATGCTGATGCAGAAATAGCCAATTTGCAAGAAAAAGAACTTGATGGGTTGGTACAAGGCTGCCTAATTCAACTCAAAGACTACAAATATTCCATCCAGAAACTATTTTTATCAACTGAAAGTGCAGAAGGCGTAAACTAACAAGTGGCAAAGCAGTAGCTTGAATATGTAACATGCGCTCTTTATCATATGTGATAGTTTGAGGAAAAATAAATTTTCGAGGCAATAATCAGGTTTTTGTTATCTGGTTAGCAATTTGCCATACACATTCGGCTATTTTTTTCTAATGTGTACATTGATGTGATATTATATTTTAAGATTAATTGTGACAAGCTGAACTAAGTTTCATGAACAAATTGGAGATTTGTATTCTTATTACCATAAATAATTACGAGGTGATATAATAGAGCAGTAATCGGAATTTCAGTCAATGAGAGCTATCTATTTTGCTTATCTTAAAATTGGCTTTTGACATCATTTCAACCAACCTTTTAAAATTATAGAAATATCATTCTTTCTCCTCTCTGTTATGTTTCAGCCTAATGCTAGCTTTCTCAGTAGGACTGGTGATTATGCAAACTATGACGATTTCGCCTTCATGTTTTGGCTTGTGCCTCTTTTATCATTTTAATAATTAAGGAGTAATTTTTGATTATGCTTAATTTTTACAGTAAATGATGGACGCTTGCATTGGTTATGGATCATACTATCTACATATTATTGGTCATTATCAGGTACTTTCCGATTGAATAGTGATTTACAATTTTGTACCAGGTTCACGTCTTCACCATAATGGTGCTTTCCTTGTCTAGGAGCACAGTAGTTTAATTTCAGCATAACAAGGAGATCGTTTACAATAAGTAACCTTGAGGCATCTAAATTGGTCCTCTTCAATCAAATCAGAAGCCAGTGCAAAGTCTATTGATGGTACCTAGGTAATGACGACAATCTCAAATATGACCACATTTAGTACATATCGAATCCTTTGAATAGATAATTGTTGTCACCCATGACCGAACCTTATTTACTCATAATACTTTTATTAGTTAGGTCGGTAGGGTCCGTCAAATGAAGATGTCAAATATAGTTCGTGCTTGATTCCGATAAATTTAAGAAGCAAAGTGATGATTCGAGTAATTAGAAGGTGATCCATCATGTTGTATCATAATTACCATGATATCAAGCATACCATGCCGCAAAGTTTCACCAAAAGGAGGGTAATGATAAAAATCGTGTATATAATCATGCCCAAAAATATGGGAGTTAAATCATTAAAAATAAGAATAGAAACAATTGAATTCTTTTAGAATTCAATAAGAAATGAAAAAATTGACGTCACGATTGTGCTCCTTATTTCTTCTTTCCACATTTAGTATAAAAATTGTAGATTCTCTCATCTATGCACATATGTTTGAAAAGTGGAGACCGAGATTGAAGACAAAAAGGATAGGGTTTGGACCAAATTAATCAATATTCTAATGAATACCCTATAACATATCGGCAACCAATGTTAAATTTTCGTTTAATTTCTCATAAATTAACTTTTCCTACCACATGTGTCATTCCAGCACATCGCTGTATGTACAAGAATTTAAAGTGGAAGTGATAAAATGCCTTAATAACGTTATTGCAAACATGAAATTGAACAAATAGAAGGACGTTTATGGGATAAAGGGAAAACTGACTCATTAGAAATAAATAATAACTTTTAAATCATTATAAAATGTGTCCCGTAATGAAGATATATTAGTAGTTCTTCAAGTATTGAAAAAAATGAACTCGTTAGATTTATAAAATATAAACATTTATTATTATCAAAATACAAAATATTCTATTAAATACATTATTTGAATTTCTTAACAATTATTGTCAAGCTTATAATGTAGTCAAAATTGTTTATATAAATCAAAAGCTTCAAAAAGCGCCAAAAGTTAAGTACTTTCTTCAAGGTTTCGGCCATCTTGTTTCTATTACACGCCCAGCAAAATAAAGCGTTTAAACTAAACTAACTTTGGAAAGGTATGATTACTTTTTCTATACTGATGCCAACAGTGAAAATTTTTTTATATTTCTGGTTTTAATTTCAATTCTTCGACAAATAATATGCACATTACTACCTTCTATACTATATATTTTCCCTTAAGGTCCCATTCCTAAGGTCCCGAAGTTCAAATTTTTGAGCCAAGGTTGAGAGTTCAAGTCCTGATTGAATTTGCATTTAATTCCACTAGATTAATTTAATTAACTTTTTATGCGAATTTTTTTCGTCAAATTAATGTTTCATTCGTCAGTTTACTGTGTCTATCCGATAGCGCTCATTTCGCTTCATGATCTATTACTAATTTCAAGATTCTCATTTTCTAGAAAATTATTGAATGATCTTTGTGACCTCGAATTTTGATATTGAATAATTTTTTGGTTTGGTAATCGATTGCATGGTGGTATTTTTAGAGGAGTATACTGAAAACGCTTGTAAAAATGGATCTTTTGGATCAGAATGCTCATGATAGAAGCAATGAACTTGATAATCTAATCATCGCAGCAGCAGCAGCCTCGGTAGAAGGCCAGATGGAATCAGATATGGCCCCTGAAGAGTGCGTAAACGTAGGTCTTTGAGTTTTATATGATTTTTTCTCCAGTATGATACCGGAGAAGGACATTCTCGCACTGGTAACACTTATTGGCATCCTGGATTTCTTCACGCAGAACACGTATCAGCTATCCAAGAAGCTGTTTGTAATGTTTTAGCAGAGAATGAACGTGAATTTTCCATTGATTCCCATATGAAAAAGCGTGGAAATGAGCACGAATACGAAGAAATGATGTCTCTCCTCAGTTTCCGCGGTGAGGAAGTTGAGAGTGATGAGACAGTTGAAGCTCTGCGCAAATATTCTATGGTTTTTGAATCAACTGGTGCTCATTCTCAGGCTCTTCCTTTGCATGAACAGGCTATCAACGAAGCAGCTTATCAGATTTGTACTATCAAACCTGCAGCTATTTTCTATAAACGTGATTTGGCAATGCTAGCCAAGCTTGCTGTTCGTATGACCGGATTTGACTTTCCTGGTTCCAGAGCTACAAACTATACACCAGTTGATGATTATGCTCCTGGCTCGGCGCTAGAAAACGAAGAGGGTTCCCAATCTTTACGACCTTCAACTGCAGCTCCAGCTAGTGCTTCAATGCTTTTGCAAAAATCTGGCCTTCTTGCTCCTAGAAGAGATGCCGTAAAGCCAAAGTTGACTCCCCAGGAGTATTCAATAATTGCCAGAGCTGCACAGGAACTAGCTCCAGAGTTGCCCAACCTAGCTCTAAAGAGTCGAGACCAATGTAGTCTTGTTGAAAACTTCGTCTATACGGATGCAGTCCGCTTGATGAACATTAGCCCAGAGAGACTGGATGAGGAGATGGATTATATTCGAGACGTGAGTGCCATTTACGGAAGATATCAGAGTGGTCCCCGAATGCCAAATCCTCGTTTGTCGCCCTATGAGTTGGGCATGAATGAGGCAGCTGCTTGTGTGGCTAAGTTGCGACCCAGTCTCCTTACTCATACCCTGCACTTAACAGAGTGGTCGCGTCGTGTTCTCAACCTCGCTGGTCTGCAATTATCTCGAATTCCTGCTCCTCCCTCTCCATCCCATCATCAACAGGCTCATGGGGATAGATGGTTGGTTCTTATCTGTTTATTAATTTGTATGTAGTTTTTCGCGCGTCTCGAAAGTGAAGCGTAATGCTTAGACTTCAATGTTGCAATTTGAATGATTTTGATTGAATTTATACCTTACTGTCTTTAAGTTCTTCCAGAACTCAGTTAAAATGCTAGATCCCATTGTGCACGTCTTCATTGATGTGTAATTAATTAACTGGTCTTTCGATAAAGTTTTATTTTCTAAAAACGCTGAATCTGAGGGTCTTAGATTGTCATTTTAATTTGCGATCGTTTCTAAAGTGTTTACAAATTTTGGAATTTTATATTCGTTTTGCAATCATGATAGATATATATATTGTTGTTAGTGTTTACTTCTATAAAACTGATATTAACGATTTAGTAGACGCAATTCCCTTTCCAGTTGACGACTACATTTATTAGGAAATTCGTTGCGACCGATATGCATGGGAGACTACAAAAGGGTTTAATCATTCATAGCTAGACAGTGAGATTGATCAATTTAGATGGCTTCTTAATCAGGTTGTGTGCTATTTTCAATGCAAGTTAACCTCTTTTCTAATTGTCTGCATTTTTCCAACAAATATTTTCTTAATTTCGAATTCGTACTCTCATTCTAATCCGTTTTGTCTTAACGCTCTCGGCTTTTTTATTTTTGAAGAAAATGAAGTTTGGGAACTGATATTTTAAGCTAACAGTCCGGTTAGTATTTGTTTTTTCATAAAATTTCTGAAATTTGTTCTTTACTTAGTAATCACTTAAAAGCTTTCTTAATTGAATTTCTTAAGCAATTCTTAATAAATCTTGAGTCTTCACAGTGCCTATCTCTTGGCGATTCTCTCAATGCTAGCTTTTATAAACTACTCTTACCATTATTGCTGATATAGGTCATTATTTCAATGCTCCTTCTTTGCACAGGCCACAACGCACTGGTCCGACTAAAACAGCCTCCAGCCAGCTCCGCTTTCAACATGAATCGAATTACGGCAGTGGTCTTACTTACGCTGGTGAATATGTCACTGAATTCGGTACTTCAGGCAGTAGCACTTTCGGTGTGGCTTCAATGACTGACCCTACGAATGGCGACATTATCGATTATGAAGTTTCTTGTGGTTTGGACAGTAGTGATTTAATTCAACCCCTCGGCGGAGCTCAGAGTATTGCCGCGCTTCCCGATTTCCAGTTGGAAAAACTCGGTAGAGCTCAATTCACTGTTGTAGATCCTGAGGTGGATGACATCTTGGGCAGTTGTTCTCTCACTTTACAAGTTGAGGAAGATGATACTCCCTTGGATGCATCAGAAATCCTTCGAATTACCAAAGCTGAAAATCTGGAGTGTGTTACAGAACTCAATGTTCCCTGTTCCAGCTACACCAGTGTCAGTGCTTTTGATTTGACTCGCTGTGTCAATCTGAAAGAGTTGGATTTGAGTGAAAATGCACTGAGAGTTTTCCCACGTCGTTTGCACTTGGCGAATTTGAAAAAGTTGGGCATATCTGGCAACCGATTTATTCATCTCCCTCTCATTGAGCAATTCCCCAAGTTAACACGTCTAACTATCGATGAGAAGCTAAAACAGGTTATTTTATTATTCTCGCTAAATTTTTTCCTTTTGTCTGAATTATCACTGACGGTTTTGCGTTTTATTTAGCTGCTCAATCCACAAATGCTGGCCTACTTCTGCCCTAAACTGAAAACAATCAATGGTCAATTTTTCGACGAAGTTTGTTCTGACTTCACTATTCGTGTAATTCAAGAGGCGAAGGCGGTCATGGAGCCCTATGTGAGTATTTCTCCATTCTATTTTTTTCGCTTTTTATTTCGGAAAACGAGAAGTTCAAAATATTTTATTATGGGAGAACCATGCCTATGCACGCAAATGTAGAATTTATTGGAAAATTAAGTTTGGAGAATGGTGTCCCCCACGTATGTTCAAAGTTGAGTATTTAGAATTGGGTTATTGAAGTAGACTTTTATTATAGGCTAAACTTTGAGCTGCATTAGCTGCTTGTACGACGCATTAATACGAAATTTGAATTACATATCATGTTTTCTTAGGCTATTCATTCATTCGCTTAGACAGACCACTTATTTTGGGTCAAACAGACAAACTGGACCAAAATGTGCATGGCTTTGGAGATGGTTCTGCCAAATTTCCCCTCTGCTTTCGAGAAACTTTCTTTCTGTAGTATTTTTCACTTTCGAATGCATATTAATCCTCAGTTGATGCACGCTTTGGAATTATTAATCTAGATTTCTATTACCTATGATAAATTAGATGGCGTCTAAGCAGGTAATAATATTAGTTTGATGTGGTACATTTGCATTACTGTCAATGGTGCATTTATTAGGGGGAGGTGGGAGTGTTCGTTGTCGTATATTAGTGGTTTTAGACCCGATAGAAATTTAAATGAAAGCTTGTGAGAAGAAAATTGCATTTTGGAGTATATACAATGTTCAACTGCATATCATGTTGACATTACAGTTCATAGGAGTAAGCAGGGCTCTTGAACTGCTGAATTTTATGTGATTTAATGGTGTCACCTATTCCACCTTCAAGACTAAAGATTTGTAGGCAATACAAATCAGGAATTATTTTTTTCATGGCATAAAACATATTTGGTATTAATGTTTTTATTTATTGTCACTATTTTTTCTTTTCCGCAGATTCGCTCGAAGTGGGAAAGTGAATTTGCGGAGCGCGTGCAAACAAATAGCTCTCAAGAGGAACGCCTTCGTGCGATCGAGACCATGATTCAGAAACTAAAGGAAAACTTCATGCTCGATGATGCTGTCCTTCCCTACAAGAACCTTCTAGTAAGTTGAAAGTGCTCAAATATATCTGACCGTAGTCAAATACAGAGAGAGTGTTGTATTACGAAATTGGGTAATTCTCATTGATAGTTAATTAACTTACTTGTTTAATTTCTTTGGGAAAGGCCCAATTCCGTTTTGCAGTATGTATTTTTGACATAGGATTACCATTCCATGGCTTTCATTCATTTTAACCAATAATATCGGGATGTGTGCTGGTGGACATCAAGTCCATCAACCGACTCAATTCGGTTCTTTTAGTCGTTTCAATTTTAAATCCGATATTTTTTAAATTGTGTGAACAGTTACTTATTTCTAACTATTTAGGCGTACCGTATAGTGGATGAATATCTCCGTTCAAAGCAGCCCGAGCAATCTGCCGATTCAAATTCAGCCGAGGCCAGCGCAGCAGCCCGACGCGAACGCGCCGAGAAGCGTGCTAGTGAACTCGCTGCAGCTCTTGAAGCCGAAGTCCCCATGCCCCACGATGAGGATTTGGTGGAAGCTGAGGCTGATATGCTTGCCAACCCTTCCGCAGATAACGTCGTCTCTGGCCATGGTGACCGTCCAACAGAGGCTGTCCTTCTGGACGACCCTGAGGATGAACCTTTTCCTCCGATCCACTATGGGGAGGATGGTGATGATCCTGAAGAAAGGGAATCTGAAGCTCGAATTGCTGGAGAACGGGCTCTCTTTGAGGCGGCTGATGACCTCCTGGGAGTTCATTTCCCTGACCCACTTTTGCTCCAACAGCAGCAGAGTCAACAACAGAGCCAGCCCATGCAGATGATGGTTGTGGATAGTATGGGCCGCCTAACGCAACAGCAGGTCATTCCTGTAAACGCTGCTGGTCAGATAAATCAACAGCCTCCACCCTATCAGATGCATTTAGGAAAGTCCCTACGAGCTGGAAGATCGATTGTTATGACTGTAGTAAGACCGAGTAGTATCTCAGGTCGACCCGTTGCGGAATTCCTACCGGGAGAGTTGAGGAATAAGGATTATGTGAAAGGATACATGGCTTCAGAGATTTATAAGAAGGCTGTTAAGGAGACACTGGGACAAAAGGCCACTCCGAGAAAGTAAGTTCTTCATTTGCTCGCAACGTTAGGCCACACGTAATTTTAGTCTGAATAACAGTTTTGTCAATTGCGTCTTTTATCTATCACTTCTCTAAGTAAATGTACCTTCGATAACTCCTCGATTCGAAATAGTTACATTTTAAATTCCGGTAAATTCGTCACACATTCTGCTAACTACTTACAGCTGAAAATTCGCACATCTAAAAAAATTATTACATGATTGAACATTTGCGGTCAGGAGGATGTCTCCATAATTATCTTCCCTTTGTTTCTACCAATTCAGATGACGAATTATGAAATCTGTTTTGTGGAACAGGGGTACTACTCGTTAAGAAAATAATGGCTTCGTTCTCAAAATTCTCTCTTCCTGATCATTCATTGTATTTAGTGTTGGTAGATTTCAATTGTTCGGTCATAGGAGACCTTATATTCACATTCCCAAATAAGTTTCACTATTTTATTAATAGTTTCAGGAGATTAACTAATACTACTTGCCTTCCCTACAGACGAAATGGACCTGGTCGTCCAAGAAAGTCGGAGACTGCAGCCGCCTTACGAACACCAGGCGGTAGTTCACAGGGTTCATCAATGGTCCCTCTGAGTGAGATCAATCCCACAGATATGGTCTCTCTCAAGAAGCCCAATGTTGCTCAAATGCAAGCAGCTTCTGCAGCAGGTCGTGGCAACATACAGACTGCTAAAAGACCATCCTCTTCAGCTGCAGGCGGTCTACTTGACGACAGCCCCAGTGGTACCGCAGGTTTACCTCCCCGACCCAAGAAACGGAAGCCTCTAGGAATGCATAGGAGTCTTCGAGATCTCTGTGCCGAACCCTCTTATGGTTTCACCCCCAGCTACCTTTCTCCTACGGGTACTATGGGTGGAATGCGTACTGATGCCTCTTTGCTTGACTATGACCCTCTTCATTTTATCCGCTGTCACGCTAAAGACAATGATGCTGGAGATAGCGATACCAAGGTTTGGAGGTGCCTCTTTGAGCCTAATCCACTTCGCCCCGAGGAAACTACTCATGTGGTTGCTACCTGTGGTGGTGAATGCGTCTGCCTAATTAACTGCGCTACTGGAAAAGTTATGAAAAGATTCAAGCACATGGATGAAGAGTTTTACACTATCGCTTGGACTACTGTTGAAGTTGAGGGGAATAAGCGCACAAACATCCTTGCCGCAGCTGGTCGGATGCGTGAAATCCGTCTTCTCCATCCTGATCAACTCATCTGTTACTCTGAGTTGAAGGGCCACACCGAAGACATCACTGCTATGATTTTCCATCAGACTCAACCCACTATTCTCTTCTCTGGAGATTCCAAAGCATCCGTGATTGTCTGGGATATCGGTGTTCCCTCGGTTCCAGACTATAAAACTCGATATCAACTCCTGATGCGTCTGCGTTGTCCTAGACTTGATGTCAATCCTGTCTTGAATCTGGTTTTCTTGCCGCATTATGCTTTTCTTATTGCGGGTTGTGAAGATGGTCTTTTTGCCTGGAAAATCACTGATCTGCGTTTGGAGAAGAGGGAACGAGAACCCGACATGGAACTCAAGCTGGAAGTTGATCATGAAGTCTGTATTGATGGGTTGGCTCAACTCTCTGATAACTCCCTTGTCATTAAGGTGGTAGAATCTGGAGAGATCATGATATTCGATTTCGCTTCTGTATTAGAAAGACGAAAGGGTGAGTACTAAAAGTCGCAAATTCTCGAACACCCTTGTGTGATGGTTTCATTCAGTTTCTAATCTTTTTTCCCCACATCAGGTCTTCAGCGCGTTGTTCCAATCGAAATGCGGGGACATTTATACTGGCAAAAGACGGATGAAATTTACATCAACGTGTCTGTTCGTCAGAATCTTGGAGCTGTTATTTGTGGAGATAATGAGGGCTCAATTTGGATCTATGACTTGGACCCCTATCTCGATGATTTGCACTCATCTAGCCGAAAGAAGTTCTTCGTTAAACCAATTAAAGTAAGTGCTTTTAATTCATTCCCTTTAAGTGGAGGCACTTATAATTTCCGTGATTTTCGAAAACTTCTTTACTGTTTGTCTATTATTCTTTTCTGTTTACACTGATGGGTTTCGAGCTCGTGGCCTCTAAAGTATCTAAGCAAGAACGAAGGTGTAATAGTTCGATAAGGTTTACACAATTGAGGAGAAGGGAATCGAGTTGAAGAATCAAGCTAGGATGCGATTTTATTGGTTATTTTACAAACTTTCTAATTTGATTTTTTGTGAACAAGTTAGAAAAAATGTTACAAATCGATCTGAAATTAAGTTCAGACACTAGAAATTCTTATCACCTCATTGCTCCTCCTATTCTTCTAGGATTGATTTGAATTGTTTGTACTCTTAATCATGCTAATTGATATAATCTTAATTATTTTAGATTCTTGAGTGGCCAGAGTGCTCCGTTCAAGGAAACCGAGATGAAGATCAACAATTGAAGGAGTCAATTAATTCTGGTTTCCACAATCCAGTTGTCAACAGTGTGGAGATGAGCTCTGACGGTCACTTTTTGGCTGCGGTTACGGACAACAACCTTGTCTGCATTTGGCGTTACGCTCCGCCTGTCGCTGGAGCTACCGGCACAATGGTACCCTCTACTGTAATTCCTATGGCTACTTCTTCTGGGGTACTGACATCAATTGCCATGCCAACGGAAAGTGGAGGAGAAATGATTACAACCACTGTTGTCACGGATGAAGCCGGAAACTTGTTGGGAATTCCTACCGTTCAAACCGAATCCACAAATGAGGAGACCCTATTTCAACAAGATCCAGCTGCTGCTGACACCACCTCTGAACTTGTCAACACTGAAGAGCATCAAGTAGAAGAACATCAGGCCTGAGTCCCTTTATCTCTGTACACATCTTTAAACTTCTTATTCCCTCATTCGCCTCCATTGTACTTGTTTCCTCTACCATCCTTTTTTACCAAGTTGTACCTATTTACGCATCCCCTCTACTCTATGTCCATATGTGTGTTATGTTTTAAAGGGGAATTCTTCATCCCTCCCTAACTTAACCTAACACCTTTATTCGGCTAAAATTTGTATCTTATTTTTAATAAAATCGTACCTACTATTCTTTGGTGAAAATTATGAGTGCTACTGATGGTTTTTGAGTAGTTAGTTCATAAAGATTCTCGATTTTGTAGGTAGGAATGGGAAGTGAGGATGAGGAGGTTGCAGCCACTCGTGTAGCTCACGAATTGGAGTCGAAGGAGAGAACGGAAGATGTTATGTTAGACGATTATAGTTTGCAGGCTAATAATTCAGCTGCGGTTATACCGTCATTTGCAGATATGGGACTTTCGATGGCTGTTTTGAAGGGACTCCGTGCTGCTGGATTTCAACGTCCGTCGCCTGTTCAAGTGAAAGCTATTCCTCTTGGACGCCTTGGAATTGATCTCATTGTTCAAGTGGGTATCCCTAATATTGTCCTATTTTACTGGTAATCATCAGCTTTTAATTTCACATCTAGGAGCTTTACGGCAAATAGTAGAGACAAGATTGTAGTGAAGGATGGATTTGGGGAAAATCTTAAAGCCCCCTTTATCTTCCACCTTGGAAATCTTGTTGAATGCAATTTGTACCCCTTCTATTGCCATGTGATGGATAAAAGGGCTCTAGTTGTTTCTTAATTTGGCGCAATGATGATCTAAATCAATACCAACATGTTATCAATCGAGTATATGTAGAATATGTTTAAACTGTTCCACCCATTATCCCGTCTGCTTTTTGAGGAAATAGACCTACATTATCCCAATATACACCATTTCAAGGTCTTTTTTAAATGTGCATAACCGTTGTGTCGACTAATTATTTTGCAGGCTAAATCTGGCACTGGGAAAACTGTTGTCTTCTCAATCACCGCCTTAGAGGTAGTTGATGTCAAGCAGAAAGCCGTTCAGGCAATTGTAATCTCTCCAACTCGTGAAATTGCCTTCCAATCCGCCGAAGTGATTCGCCAGCTAGGTCAATTTATAAACGGTCTTGGCGTGCAACTTTTTGTTGGTGGGATCCCCTTGGCTGACGATATCAAAAATCTAAGTCGATGTCACATTGCTGTTGGAACTCCCGGGCGAATTAAGTATCTTATAAATGCGGGTCATTTGGACTGCGAAGCGGTTAAATTGTTCATCCTCGATGAGGCTGATTTACTATTCAGCGGTGGCGCTTCGATAGGTCCAGGCGGTTTAACTGACGAAGAGTTGCTAGCAGGTCGAAATACCTTTCCCGCAGCGATAAATTACATTTGGTGGGCCTTGCCTGAAGCCAAGCAAGTTATGGCCCTCTCAGCAACCTACAGTGAACACCTAGTTGGCACCCACTTGCCCAGATATATGCGTTCTCCTGCCTTAGTTCGACTCTCAGCTCATGATCCATCGCTCTTGGGTGTACGTCAATTTTTCTCCAAAATTCCTGTTAAATCCAACTCTCCTGCGTCGTTGTTTAAGGCGAAAGTGGAGGAACTGCTGAGAATTGTAAAGGAAATTGACTTCAAACAGTGCTTGGTCTTTTCGAACTTTCACAATAGCGCAGAGCAGTTGTGCGAGTCGCTACGAAGATCTGGATGGCCTGTAAATTACATATCTAGTGGTTTGGATCAGAAGGAAAGATTCAAGGCCTTCAATAGTCTTAGGGGATTTCAATGCAGAATTCTTGTTTCTACTGATTTGGTAAGTGTCATTTGGTTTCTACTTAAATATATATCAGTAGAACTTGTTTTTCACTCCCATTTAGACGTCCCGAGGAATAGATGCTGAGAACGTGAATTTAGTTATCAATCTTGAGGTGCCTTGGAATCGAGATGTTTATCTACATCGTATTGGAAGAGCTGGACGATTTGGTAATAGTTGTTTCAGTTTTAAGTTTAAATGATTATAAAGTTAATTTAATCAAAATTGTTTTTTTCTCCCAAAGGAAGCTATGGGGCGTCCATTATTCTGATAGGTGATACCGAGGAAGAGGTGAAAAGGCTTTCACAAATTGAGAATCCGGATTCCGTATCGATCCATGAACTTCCAGGTATTCTACTTGCTTGAATAGCGCTGATTTTAAATGAATTTGGCACCCACTCTGTTGTAAGGAACTAATAGTCATGACTAATCAAATAAATACTTATTTTGAGTGCCCAGAAGGAACGAATATGAGTTGCATTCTAAACAAATGCCGAAATATAATGAACTTCAATGCCTAGAATGAAAATCGATTGTTTTCAAAGCCCTGACCAGAGTTCATTCAAATTGGCGTGAACGAAGCTTATTATTTGATTTCACGATTATTTATGTATATCAAATGGCAGGCGTTTTGATAGTTATCATTAGCCCTTTAGCTGACTTCGGGCTTCACGGAGAGGAGGAGGAACATGGAGCTGACTTGGGGGTTTTGAAAGTTATCATTAGCCCTGGAGCTGACTTCGGGGCTTCACAGCAGAGATAGGAAGGTACATCCAGTTGACTTCAGGCTTCACAGAGTGGAAGAAACATCAAAGTCTGACTTCGGTCTTCATAGAGAGGAGGAGAAACATCAAGGTGACAAAAAGAGCTACGGGCTTCACAGAGGGAAGGTTCATCAAAGTAGCATAGTTCGGGCTTTACAGAGGGAAGGTTCATCAAAGAAGCAGAAATGACAGGCGTTTTGATAGTTATCAGGAGGCGTTTTGATAGTTATCATTAGCCATTTAGCTGACTTCGCCGGCGTTTTGATAGTTATCATTAGCCCTTTAGCTGACTTCGAGCTTCACAGAAGGGAGGAACATTAAAGTGAGAAAAAATCGTAGACGGAACATCCAAGTAACAGAAAGTCGAGGGATGGGGAACAGTGAGAGGAGGAGGAACATCAAAGTGAGAAAAAGTCGAGAGGGGAAAAATTCGAGAAGGGGGAAAAGAAGAGTGATTTACAGACGTAAAGGGACAGAGGGACACAAAGGCAGAGAAAAGGTAAGGTGAGTACTGTTGAAGTGGTCGAATTTAGCACACGGTTGGGTCATGATAGTTTGAAGTCAGAAGTCCTTGGGTCTATAATGCATTGAAGCTAATGTCATGCCTGGATCTTGTCTTATTTACTATCATTTTTTTAATATTCCTCTCTTCGAAGCATACAGATTGAAGTGCACTCATTTTTTCCTAATTAACCTTTTACCTACTTGTTAGATCCAATTCCTGCAGATTTAGCAACAGCAGAGTGTCTAGTAGATTTCTCTAAACTCGTCACTGTGACGAAACTCACCAACGATTTGGAGAACAGACCATCTTCAGAGAGGAAGAATTGGCGACGAGGAGGACAATCAACTAAGAAGTCAGATGTTTCAAAGAAAGTGATTCAGAGACCAACATCTTCTCTTTCATCTCAACCACCACTGAAGATCTCAAAATCAATGTCGCTCGATCAAAAACATCTCAAGAAATCTGTTAAATCAACTCCTGGGCTTATGGAAAATTTGAACAATTTTGTTAATTCAATATTGCTCAAGGTTAGTTGAAACTAGCATAAGTATGGTTATATAACGGTACAAGTATAGCCAGGTCGGTCACTTCTCTCACTTGAAAACCATGAGTGCTCATGTAGTTGTCGAGATTACTGACCGATTGGCTAATACGAGTCAGTCAACCCAATGGGACTCTAAGAATGCAGAATGAATTTTTGTTCTTAATTCTATGCGAGGGTTTGATTGCATTCTCCCAGAATCCAATTTCTAAATATTCTCTTGTAACAAGACACTTGTGGTCTAGATATTATATCGTCTGTGATGTTGAGTGCTCAAAAGTTTGTTTGAATAATCGTAAATGTGACTACTTTTTGCATAATATTTGTACAGGTGGCGCAGTGGTCAACAAGCATGTTGGCCATGTCTCTTACTTGGTAGGCTTTATAGAAATGGGCAACTGATTGATTGATTGGCAAGAGATGGTGGGGGGGGGGGGGTAAAATGTGTGTTTCTAAATCAGTAAAACTCCAGGAAAATGTTATTACCCACTCTCATTAATTCTTTAAAGCTGGTTTAAAGTACTTCTTCCTGTTGCAAAAAACCAACATTTTTTGTTTCTATCAAGTTAACAATTTTTCATGGAATAGTTATTTTACAAGACTTCCCTCCGAAAAAAACGTATATGATCGACTTTGTTCTTTGCCCTAAGTTTTTAGTCATGTCAACAATTTGCACATGCCAAGTGCTTTTCGTATCAGGTCTTTTGTTTGCGTTTGATGCTTAGTTGGGCTCGTAGACTTCTGGTTGATTTCCGTGGACTTCTTAGCAGGTTCTTGTCGACACGTTGATTATTTTCCGGTGAATGAATCGAATTTACACTATTACCTTGTTGCGTTAGCGACTTCATCTTAACCTCTAAATTTACCACTTAATTTCTTGCCAACGCTGTTATTATTAAAAATTTTCTGTAAACATTTTGTAGTGAAGCTTTCATTTTAAGTTACATACGATTCACATCCCAAATAAGTTTTGGAAGAGAGAAACTTTCTGTTCTATTGCAAACAGTATTCTGCATGTCTGTATCTACAATTGTTGAAAACACGTGACAACGCGCCCTTAAACAAATCACGGATAGCATCAATCAGTCGCTGTGCGTCACGTGACCTCGCTTAAGCATTCAATAGCGCTTTCAGTATGTTACGTGGCACGAGATCTTCTTAGCCTTGCTCTTACTGTACACAATTTACTATATACTTGGCGGTCAACCACCAGACTGGCCAATAATAGAAACAGGGGTGGGGGTGGGAGTGGGGGCTGCCTTGTGGTTACAAGTGCTTGAACAGTAATCTAACAATTGGTAAAACCTATGGACTCCACTCTATGTAAACCCCTACCTTGTACCCCGCCGAGTTGCTGAAACTTCTCCTTTTTTCAGCCAGCATTAGGAGTGCATTTCTCAACTGATGAAGTCCATCGAGAATCTCCTGAGTCCCCTAAACACCTAGGCGAATTGGAAAACAGAGTTCTGCGTCAGATATCTCAATTTCTAGACAATCCAATAACTGAAAATGTCTCTGAGTCATTCGTTGAAAGTGAAGAGACTGAAAGTGTTTCTTCCAGTTATGAGTCCTCTGAAAGCTCACAGACCGTACAATTCCAAGCCCACCCAACTACAACCTGTTCAACTGTTCAACTACAGCAAGAGCCACAGCATGTGCAACAATCTCTAACTCCACGTCAGATAGCTCTGTGGAATGAGTACTGTCGTTTGGTTCAGTGGAAAGACTATTTCTATCAGCACTGGTTGAATGCAACTCAGGAATATGATGCTGTTCTGGCTGAGTATAGAGAACTAACCGGCCAAACAGATTCTTGCGATAATTGAAGAGTTTTGATATTGTTTTGTATATATATATATATATATATATATATATTCTCCCTTTTATAAATCGACTTTTATTGTGAATTCGCCGGTAATTTAGAGATTGATGGTGTTAGTATTGAACATCCCAACTGCTATTATTAAAAATCCAATTAGCGTTTTGTCAAAAAAGAATGGGAACTGTGTTAATTGTTGTTTAAAATAAGTTTTATGTGATCGCAAAGAGTATTGACTTAGTAGCAATTACAATTGCCTAGTCTCTCATCTTGTAACCGTCCCGAAATGTCAAGAAAGTCTATTTTAAATGGCAGGCGTTTTGATAGTTATCATTAGTCCTTTAGTTGACTTCAGGCTTCAAAGAGAGGAGGAGGAGGAACATCAAAGTGACAATAAGTCGAGAGGGGTAGAGTATAATGATTCACAGATGTCAAAGAGGCAGACAGACAGACTCAAAGGCATTGAAAAGGTAGGATGAGTACTGTGAAAGGGGTCGAATTTGACATACAGGGGTGTCATAGTGGTTTGAAGTCAGAAGTCAACTGCCTGTTAATAGACCTTTTTGCCGCATGAGTATACATTGCCCGGGGTGTATCACGTGGAGGTATGAGTATACGTTGCCCAGGGTACACCACGTAGAGGTAAGTCTATTGCATGAGTATACGTTGCCCAGGGTGCACTCCGTGGTGGTATATGAGTATACGTTGCCCAGGGTGTACCACGTGGAGGTAGGTATAGTATACATTGCCCAGGGTGCGCCACGTGGAGGTAAGACCGTATGATTATACGTTGGCCAGGGTGCACCACGTGGAGGGGTATACGTTGCCCAGGCTGCACCACGTGGAGGTAAGTTTACATGAGTATACATTGCCCGGGGTGTATCACGTGGAGGTAAGTTTGTTGCACACTCCATGTCAGGAAACGTTGAGGAATAACGATTCCACTTAAGAACAATTATTTTATCTTGAATGAATATTAGAATACTATTTTAATTCTTCGCAAAAATTAACAGTTACTGGTCTCCCAAATGGCACACTCAGACTTATAAGACCTGGATTTTATCTCAGGAAGGCTGCCTGATGTATTACTGCCTACCGGTATCATCGTAGCGTTTGATACATACGACTGCTCAGCCGGAAAACAGATAACCGTAATCAATATTCATATAATTAACAAAAGAAGCCCTCAGTAAAAGACTTTCTTCCTTAAAGGAAGTTCTCGAATGTAGGTTTCTTTCCAAAGGAGCTTTATGATTTAATGCCTCTGTCCTCGGATGTTGAGTGAAAGCATCTTCCAAAAAATTACTTTTTTCGGCTGGGGGTGTGCGATAGACTTACCTCTACGTGGTGCACCCTGGGCAACGTATACTCATACGGCGAAAAAGTCTATTAACCGGCATTTGTCTTCTGACTTCAAACTACCATGGCCCGACTGCTTGTCATATTCGACCCCTTTCACAGTACTCATCTTACCTTTTTCTCTACCTTTGTGTCTGTCTGCCTCTTTTACATCTGTGAATCGCTCTTCTGTTCCCCACCCCTCGACTTTCTTCTAATTTGATGAACCTTCCCCCTGTGAAGCCCGAAGTCAGCTAAATGGCTAATGATAGCTATCAAAACGCCTGCCATTTGAAATAAATAAATAAATACTTTTTTCGGCTGTAATCCATACTTGGGAAAGGAGTTGTGAATTTGTGGTTTCCACATCAACAATGAACATTTGTGAATTAGTGTTTGACATATGTAAGGCAA